AAATTGCAACTCTTTCATGTTTAAGAATTTTGTGAATATATAGTGTTAGGTTATTTGAGAGAATAATTCTAGTTCCTTCTATTGAAGAAATTGAGTTTAATAGATAATATATAAGTATTGAGTATTATAGTATTTTGATTTAGAGTTAGTGAGTTTAGTTTCTGTTATGCAAATAATATTGTAATTATGAGAAAGACAGTAGTCTTCCTATAATTATTTTTTGAAAGAATTATTATATCCTCTAACATTATGAGTTATGATATTGAGAGAAAGTAAGTTATTAGTATTATTAGTATTGATATTAGTAGTTGTTTGTGTTGGTTAGGTTTGTGATTTTAGTGATAAGTTATAATATATTAGAAGTTGATATGATTCTATAAAAAATAGTTTTTTAAAAGAATTAGATTATCAGGAGTATATATATATGCTTCATTAAGTTTAGAGTCAAAAGAGAATATTGTTCTATGATTAAATTTGTAGAATTGTAGATATGTGAGAAAGGATTTAATAGTTTAGTTGTTGTTTAGAGAAGGGAGGTTATAATATGTTAAGAATTTATTATAGCATGGTAGTAGTCCTTGTTATTTCAAATGTATTAGTTGTAGGACAACAATATAAAAGTCTTCTATAAGGTTAACAAGTATTAATGAATTTATAGAAGATAAGCTTATTAAAAAGGAGTCTGTTCATTTTGTTCAGTTTATTCAGTTTATTTAGTTTGTAAAAAGAGAGAGTCTACTATTTCAACTGGTTTAAAGTTGATATTGAATTTTTTTTTAGAATTCTTTTAGCTTCTAGAACTATAGTTGCCTTATAGAATTCTATTATTGTTTTATATGTTGAAGTATTGTTGAGTATAATATCATAATAAGTAATTATATGTGCTAAAAAGTATGTATCAATTAGCTGTTCTATTAGCACTTTTATAGCATCTTCTTTGTTGAGGAGGTTGATTTTATAGTTTTGTATAGCTTGATTATAATAGATTATTAAGAATTAGTAAAAGAGTAATTGCGATATTTGATGTTTGTTTTAACTTTGTTAGTTTTACAAACAAATTTTTCTGCTTGGTTAGCTAATTCATCGAGAGTTTGAGTAGGGATTTTGGTTTGAAGAGTTGCTTCATGCTCTCCATCAATATAGAAAATGGAGTGATCTAGAGGTAGAAGTTTCTATTGTTCATTTTCATCTGGTAAATAGACAACTTTTGAGTATTTTATTACTGCTTAATATAGACGATTAGAGTTATGATATTTGTTAGTTTGCACTTTTTTTCCTTTTTTTGGCTATAGATTTTCTTGGAGATATTTATAGTCTTCTTTTAAACAAGTAAGAAATATAGCTTGCTAGCTGAGTTGCTTCATGTTGGTATTCTTGTAGTAAATTAGACTTTTTCATTTCATATTTTTTTAGAAGGAGTTTTGTTAAGTAGAAAATAAAATGTTGTAAGATTTGATATTTAATATATATAAGAGTTTTTTGTTTATCAATAGGTATGTTAAATTGATGAGAATAAGCTAAAAAAAACTTTTTTAATCTAGCTACTGAGATTGTTAAATGAGTTTTTTAGAGATAGAATATTAAATTTGTCAAGAAAGAGAGTTTTAGAAATATTAAAGAATAGTTTAATATTGAATCTTAAATCAGAAGAAATAGTAAAATATTCTTGTTTTTGGTCAATATATTCAATTGTAGAGTCAATTTTAAATCTTTTAGATCTAAGTTTAAAATCTTCATTGAATTTTGTATAGTTAATTGATTAGAAATTATTTGTTAAATAAAGGTGTAATTATACTATGTTAAATATATTTGAAGGTGATTTTTTATTTTATATAGTAGAATTGTAATAGAAGATGTGAAGATTTCTCTATAATTTATTTTAGTAAATAGTATAGTTGTAAATTTGACTAAGAGATCTTTTAGTATAGATTCAAGGAGGTCAAAGTATATTGTTGTATCAGAGTTTATATCTGAGTTTGCTTGATAGATTAATTTGATTAGAAATTCAGGTCTTTGGCCTGCTATTGTACAGATGAAGTATTTAAATAATATTCCAGAAATAAAGTTTGAAAGATTATCTTTAAGAAAACTAAATAATTGAAAAGATAGTTTAGTTTGAAGTTTGGTATTAGGTTTTATTTCTTCTGTAATCAGAAAGTTTACAAGCTAGTCAAAAACTGGATTTGCCTTAGGTTTATTTGGTTTAGTAGGAGTTTTTGAGATTGTAATAAGTTTTTAGCCAAAATTTTAGAGTAGAGTTATTGTTATTTTTAGCAAGTTGGTTTGGTTTAGTAAAGATATTTTTTTCTTTAAGATTTGGTATTTTTGGTATATCAATTTCTATATCATTATTTAGAGTTATTTGTGGAGTTTGGTCTTTAGTATTTGTATTTAGTGTTAAGTTTTGAGTTAAGTTTGTTTATGTTGGAATAGTAAGGTTGATTTCTATTTCTAATAATATTTCTTTAGTATTAGTAGTCATAGTAGCTAGAAGAGATATTTTATTGTTGTCTGTTAGTATCAGAGAAGTTAAAGGAGGAGTAGGTAAATTTTGGAGTTGTTGTTGTTTTTGAAAGGTAGCAGTTAAGACTTTTTTAGTAAAAAGAAAATCATAAGTTGCAGAGGATATAGAACTAAAGTTAGTAGAAAAAGGTAAATTGTTAGTGTTGTTTTTTGAGAAGTAGGCGTAGTGGTATGCTTTATTTTTATAGAAGGTAGCATTATTATTTAGCTTATAGATATTGTTGATGAGTTTGCATTTGATTACAAGCCAATATTTTGAACAAGTATGTTAGCAGAAGTTTGTTGTTAGAGATGGTAGGATATTTTCAGAGCTTTTAGTGAGATTTTGTATGAGAACCTTAGTTTTTTTGTTATTCATATTCACTATATAGGTTGTAAAGTTAGAGAGCAAGATATTGTATTCTTTGTTAGTTGCAAAGGTAAAGTTAGTATGATAGAGGCTATATAGGCAGTAGACAGTTGCAGAAGTTTTAGGAGCAAGTACAAAATGAGTAATTTTTGTATTGCTTCAAAGGATTTTAGTAAGACAAGTTATCAGTTTGCTTTTAGAAAGAATTAGAGAGATGTTTTTCAGGTTCTCTTCATAGAAGGCTACTATAAAGCTATTAGAATACTTTCTGTAAAAGTAGTCTAAGTCAAAGGTATTTGGTATTTCATTTGTTAAAGTAGGCATTGTTAATGAATAACTTAAGTAAAAGATATATAATTTAGAGTATGATAATTAAGAAGACAAAAGTTAGGTAATTGGATGAGGGATGTAGGAAGTATTAGATATAATGAATAAGTGGTATGACAAATAAACTATATCACTGAGTGATAATTAAGTGGTGTGATAGATATTATTTTATTACAGATGTGATGCGATAATTAGAAATATATCACAAGTATAATGTGATATAGTTGTATTCTGTGTTTAACCAAAAATAGATTGTGTTTAATTAATTTATAAATAGAATTTTTGTATAGAGCTAATTTAGGAAGTTGTATTAATTTAATTTGTAATCTTTTAAGGTAATGTTTAATTAAAATCAATCTAATCTGGATTTTTAATATAGGTCAATACAAGGTTTGAATTTTACAAATTTGAAAATTAGTTGAATTATCAAAAATAGTAGTTTAGAGCAGAGTAAAAGTTTTTTTAATAGGTAGATTTTTCTGTTTTAGATGCTAGAAGGCTTAGTTTTAAAGCTATTTGAGTAAAACATAGCTTGTTATAACCGGGAGGACCAGGCCAACAACTTTGATTAAGAGTCCAAAAGAGATTTAGAAAGTAGTTACTAAGTAAACCTCAAAAGTTTAAAGTTGTTTTTTACTTTTATATTTTTGATAGTAAGTTGTTAGAGAAAAGGCTAAAAATTTTGAAGTTAGACTGTCTAGATGTGAAATCTAGTGCTGAGTAAGTTTGCTTAAGGGCACTTACTCAGTTTATTTAATAAAAAGTTGAAGAAAATTAGTTTTTGTAGAAAGTTTTTTGATAAAGTTTTGGTATAAGTAATATATGGATTAAGTTCCTTAATAAAGTACAGTATTAATATAAATATTTTTTAAAATATCATATAATTATAATATGTTAAGTTTATACATACAGCTAGATTTTGTTTTTAATTGTGATTATTAAAAATTAATAATAATATTTTATAAAATTTATCTAAACATTATTGCAGTTTAAAAATTATATAAATTTTGTAGATTATCAAAAAAAAATTACATGATTTTTAGATAATTTTTAAATGATTTCTGATTTCTTAAAACAACTCTAATATCTAGATATAAAATTGCTATATTGGAGTTGTTTTAAGAAATCAAAAATTACTTAGAAATTACCTAAAAATTATGTGATTTCTTTTTTTTTTGATCTGTAAAATTTATATAATTTTGCAAACTGCAATAATATGATATTGTATAGTCTCTAGTAAAATTAAATTATACAATTGTATTTAATTATTAATTACTTGTTTTAGCTATAATTCATAATTATAAAGCTATATAAATTACTTATAAAACTGTATAATAATTATAAATTATAATTGTATTTAATTAGTCAATTGCTTTTTTTAAATTGCTTATTAAACTAATCAAGAAGCTGCATAATATTTATAAGTTAAAATCCTATTTATAAGTTGTAAATTCAAACATAAATAGTTTTTTATCTGAGCTGCTACTCTTTAGATTACAGCTTCAAACACTTAATAAAGTTAGAAAATCTTAAGATAAACATATAATTAAACCTGCTGAACAATTTTCACCAAAAATACTTAAAAGATATATAACAGAAATTAGAATTATGATCAAAGAAAAATTTATTCAAAGCACAAAATCCAAGTATTATAATTAAAATTTTGTTAAATTAAAATTATTTGAATATGCTATCAATAATCAAAATTATCTTATTAATTTTGAAAAGATTAATCATGTATAAAAAAAAGCCAAAATTTTAAATATAGGTAGAATAATGAATATAAATTATATTTCATAAGATGCTTATCAAAAGTTAGTAGCAATAAATTATTACCTACTATATAAATATATTATTGTAAATGAATAAAATAACTTAACTCAAAAAATAGCTAAAGATATTTTTATTAAACTTATTAATATGAATACAATAATAACAAATAAAGATTTTGATAATATATATAAAGAATTAGATAATATAGATAAAGAATTTGATAATATAGATAATGAATTAAATAATTTAGATTCTGATATAATTAATAATATTATAAATTCTATAGATATAGATAGGTAGCATAATTATAAAGAAATACTTTAATATTTAATTCTTTATTTGTTATAAGAAAATATATTATCAGTTTATGATCTAATAATTCATTTGCAAATTTCTAGTAATGGTCAAAATGTTAGCTGAAATATTAAGCATGTTATTATTATATTCATAGTTCTTAATAATCAAAAACATTGCTATATATTTAACTATTATTATACAGTTACTATATATTCAGAAATTGAAAAATATGAATCTCTTAAATTCATATTAAGCCTATTTCTTAATAATTCTAGAGATCTTAAAACTAATAAATTAGAGGTCATAAATATATTATAGTAGTTTAAGTTATACTTTAGTAGTGATTAAAAGTTTTTTTCAATCTGTTTTGCATTAAATGCTGCTAATTCTAATTATTTTTGTGCTTAGTATTTTTGTTCTAAACATGATATTAGTAATATAATACAAAATTAGTGAATTACAAAATTAATAGATGATTTAAAAAACAATTATCTTAATCTTTCTAATTATATTAAGCTACTATTATTTGATATGATTCCTTTGTACAACTACATATTCAATAGGTTGCATTTATTATTATGAGATGAAGATCAGCTCTAGATATTAATATTATCAGAAATTAAAGAGTAAAATCTATTTATTAATTTTAATTATCAAAATATTATAAACAAAATGAATTAGCTTGATATCAAATTTTAATTTTAAAAAGAATCTGATATATGGAAAAATACATCATTAACTAGTAATAACAAAATTAAAGTATTACAATATTTTAATTTAAATATTCTTTTTCATCTAAGTAAAGCCAAGTTAATTTAATTTTTATAGAACAAATTTATTAATCTGTATAAGGCAATATATAACCAAAATAGTGATCTTTTATATTTAAAAAATTTAGTATTGAATAGTTAAAACTTTGTAAAACCTAATAAAAAGGATCTAAAAAATCTATATAATATTATAAAAAGTCTTTATTTGCTAACTTATATAATTTTCTATATCTATTTTTTGGTATTTTATGAGTAGGAGTTATATCAAAAACATTGGTAATAAGGATTAAAAGTATTTTCTTGCAGTGCAGTAGAAAAAAATCATATGCATATTTCATACTTTTTTTGAAAAACTATTCTGAATAGTAGAAATTCTCTTAAAAAAAACTGGTTATGATAGAAATTTTAAAATATGAGTCACAAAATCTTTTTTGTATATATAATGATCTGTTAGTATAGCAGAAAACTAAAAACTTTATATTAAATAAAATTATATATTATAATTAATATATATGAGTGAAATTTTTTAATTAAAATATTAAGATTACTAAAATTAAGTGATATATTTAATAATTTATAAATAATTTATAAATAACTTATAAATATTATAATTAGTTTTATAAGCAATTTAAGAAAAGCAATTGATTAATTAAATATAATTATAATTTATAATTATTATGCAGTTTTATAAGTAATTCATATAGCTTTATAATTATAAATTATAGCTAAGGCAAGCAATTGACAATTAAATATAATCATATAATTAAATTTTACTAGAGACCAAATAATATCATATTATTGTGATTTATAAAATTTTATAAATTTTGCAGATCAAAAAAAAGAAATTACATAATTTTTAAGTAATTTCTAAGTGATTTCTAATTTTTTAAAACAACTCAAATATAAAAATTTCATGCTTAGATATTAGAGTTATTTTAAGAAATCAGAAATTATTTAGAAATTGCTTAAAAATTATATGATTTCTTTTTTTTTCATGATCTATAAAATTTACATAATTTTGCAAACCACAATAAATATTTATATAAAATATTATTCTTGATTTTTAATAATCACTAAATCAAAAAATCCAATCATATGAATCAAAAATTCAAATTTTTTCAGATTAGAATTATTAATATATTAGTAGTTCTAAGTATCTATTACAGAATTAATAAAAATAAATAAAGAAGCAGATATAGAATTTTCTAATTTATACTGTGACCTTAATTTAAATTAATTCAATTATTATATTTGTTTGCTCAATATTTATAACTGTTTAATTTTTTTTCATAATGTAGTATAGAGCATATACAGCTACTAACTTAAAAATAGTGTAAAAGATATATAGCCATTTTAGTCTAATCTTTACTATTTGATATTGTGATTTAATTATATCATAAGTACAAAATTTTATTTAATCACTTAGTTTTCAAAGAAGAAAAAAGCCTTTTTGAGATAACTACTAAACACTTTTTAGATTTTGTAGTTTGCTTATCAAGATCAGAACCTGTAACTTTATATATATAGCTTTATTATTTATAATTAGATATAGTTATTCATTATATATTTTTATGAAATATAAAAAGATAAGTATACAAATTCTACTATACAAGTATATCTATCTGTTTTTTTAATAAATTTTTTCCATTCTACAAGAAGTTCATTACAGAAAAATTTAGGCTTTCTTTTTTTTTGATTATTTAATTGCTCAAGAGAATCAATATCATTATTTTGATCATTATTAATATTAGGTTGTTTTAAATAATATATATTTGTTGATTTTGATCATAATTTTTTTGATCCTATCTAGGATCTTTGAAATTTGTACCAAAATTGAATATGCAGACTTTTTATAAAATCTGCATTTATATACACATAGATTATTTGAAAATTAATGAATATAATCTTTTAAACAGCAAAAAATAAGCTTTCAGTATATGAAAATGATAATATTTTTCTTCCTATTTTGGCAAAATTTAATAATAATTGGCAATATATTTGTTGAATTAAAATATTCTTAAATTCATACAATGTTCTAACTAGAATTTCATTGAGATCATTATATAGCATATTATACTTTTTAATAGCTTTATAATATTGTCTGTATCTATTTTCTGATTTGAAATTTCAAAAACAGACAGAACAAAAAACCAAGAAGATTAAAGATTTAGAAGTTAAATTTTGAGAAGTAGATAGTAAACATATTATTAAACAAACAATTTATTGAACATTATCATTATTTATTGCTGTTTTATATTTATTTATTCTGTTTTTGAAATAGTTAAAATGATTAATAAATTTTATTTATTTATAAAATACTATAAATTTAATTATTAGAGAGATCTATTATATCAGTTTTTGGTCTAAATTAAGGTTAATTTAGGCTAAAAATAGTCAAAAATAGATAATAGATTAATCTCTACTTTAAGTATACAGATTTATATAATTGTCATGAGTACTTGTGATATATATATATCTATTTTTAACTATTTTAATAGTTTTATTCACATAATAATAATGACAAATAACATGTCTCTGTAGGCTCAAATAAAAAATTTAGACAATAATCTAATGAGTTTAAGGATAATCTAATGTGTTTGATGAAATTTGATACATGTTTGTTATATCTTTCTTACATAATAATACAGAAAAGATCCTCAAAAAATCAAACTAATCACTCTAATAATTTATTAAACCAATAAAAAAACATTAAATAAGGAGTTTAGACTGAATTTAGTGACACTATTCAGGGCCCAATTATCCAAAATTCACCAATATGCTTTTACAGATTTTGAAGTAAGACTATTATACATATTTGTTAATTACTACAAGCTGCTAAATATATTTTGATAAAACAAATAGATATATAATAATAAATAAAAAAAAAGATAAAATCAGAGTTCCAGAAACCTTTACAATACAAAACACAAAAAATTTCCAAATTGTGTTTCTGTTATGAATTTCATAAATTTTATGTTAGTGCATCAAAAAGGTATCTTTTTTTGAGCTCAATATATCAAAACATAAATTTGTATTATATGCTAAATAATATAAGATCCTCCACTTCACTTCAGACAATTAAGTATAATGATAAACAATTAGTTATATATAATTTACAGCTATTCTCATAAATTCTGAGATACCTAAAAATTTACTTATTTTCTGAAATCTCTTTGGTTTTATTCTGTGAATTATCCAACTCTTCAGAAACTATATTGCTATCTTCAGTACTTCAGTCTAGAGATAGCAATATAGTTTTTGAAGAGTTAGATAATTTACAGAATGGAACTGAAGAGATTTTAGAAAATGAATAAATTTTTAGGTGTCTTAAAATTTATGAGAACAGCTATAATAGACTATAATTTTAAATTTCTCAAGATGATTATAATTTAAATGGATATAGATAGTATTCTGATCTGGTCAGATTAACTTGAAAAAAAACCTGATCTGAAAGTTCTAAGGTCAAAAAAAATTAATTCGAAAATTTTTAGGTTAGGTTTGAGTTAAAGGTCAACTTGATCTAAACTTCATCTGAAAATTACTAATTATTAAACAGGTTAGCATTAAATTAATTTTGATTAGCATTAAGATTAATTTTGGCTAGCTTTGAAATTAATTTTGGCTAGTACTAAGATTAATTTTGGCCAGCATTAAGATTAATTTTGGCTAGTATTAAGATTAATTTTGTGCTAGTATTAAGTATAATATTTGTGTAACATATATATTAATTAAAATTAACATATAATATTAGTTTATTTTTTTTTTTTTGTTATTAAGGCCACTTCCTTGGCCGATTAGATTTTATTAGTTTGTTATTACGGAACTATCACAT